AGTGACCAAGATGAGACCACGAATTCAGACTCCAAGAGCGATGTAAGCGGGCTGGCCGGGAATATAGACAATGAGTCCAAAACTAACATCAAATTGGAGAAGTCAGTGAAGAGCAAGTCGTGGGACATGTTCGCTGATCAGGACAGCTTCAGTGTTGATGTAAGTATTGTTTATAATATTAATTCCAGATCATCTCTCTTTCTCTTTTGATAGTAACAAGACACTTTACAACCGAGCACAGAAAGAAGGATGTGATAGATTCGGTTGTTTTGTTTTTTATTTTAACGAATGTCACTGTCATTTCTAAACTGATTTAAAAAATCCTTTTTTTTTTAGTTGAAAGGAAGTTGGATTAAAGCTTTCATTGTAATTACAGACGTCTACAGCTGGAAAACCAAGAAGTGACAATGCATTAGAGAACCCTTCATTGATAGACAATTGGGATGATGCCGAAGGGTACTACAGGTATGTAAGATTTTTGTTCTATTAGTGCAATAGAAAATAACTTTTGACACACAATTTGCCATATATTTAATGAATTATAACAAATACATGAATATTCCCTTGATAACAGCTAGACATAACGAGACAGGACCGAGAACGAACCATGATATATAGTCAGAGTGTGGCATTAATATACTATGTTTTATGTACAGGGTGCGAATCGGCGAGAGTCTGGACGAGCGGTACAATGTGTACGGTTACACCGGCCAAGGGGTGTTCTCTAACGTGGTGCGGGCGCGGGACCAACGCGCCAACTGCGATGTGGCCGTCAAGATCATCAGGAACAATGCCATGATGTAAGTATACTTTCTCAACTACTTTCAGAGTTTCGCATTTTTACTTTTATTTGGTAGACAGACAGACAGACTAAATATTTAACATGTTCAGACATCGTGAAATAGTTAATGTTTACATTCATTTCCACCACCCACCACTTGTATATAATTCGACTTATTAAACGATCCATTCCATCCGCAGGCACAAAACCGGCCTCCGTGAGATAGAAATTCTGAAGCGTTTGAACGACGCCGACCCCCACGACAAGTTCCACTGTTTGCGCCTGTCCCGGCATTTCTTCCACAAGCAGCACTTGTGCATGGTGATGGAGCCTCTGTCCATGAACCTCAGGGAGGTGCTGAAGAAGTACGGCAAGAACAGCGGAATACACATCAAGGCGGTCAGATGTTATACGATGCAAATGTTGTCGGCGCTCGAACTGTTGAAGAAAACTGGCATTTTACACGCCGGTAAGTTATCATACTTGAATTATTAACTTTTCAACGATGAAATTATAATTTATTTCCGATAACGCTTATAAAGCTCCTTTGCTCTTATTATGTTATGTTATAATGCAATTATTGATTTTTTGTTCACAGACATCAAACCGGACAATATACTCGTTGATGATAGTAAGCTAACGCTTAAACTATGCGACTTCGGTTCCGCGTCGTGTGTAACGGAAAACGAAATCACACCATACCTGGTCTCGAGATTCTACCGGGCGCCAGAGATCATCCTCGGCTCCGCCTACGATCACGGCATAGACATGTGGTCCACGGCGTGCACTGTATACGAACTGTCCACCGGCAAAATAATGTTCAGTGGGAAATCCAACAATGAGATGCTAAAATGTTTCATGGACCTGAAAGGAAAGATACCAAATAAAATCATAAAGAGGGGACACTTCAAGGGGCAACACTTTGATGCAAATTGCAACTTTTTGTATCGTGAGCTGGACAAAGTGACCGAACGGGTAAGTAGTATATTTACTTGTTATAATATAGATTTGGTTTCTGATGGATGAAAGTGAACCAGTCATAGGTGAGGGAGGATAAAGTAAGATCAGTTATGAAAAAATGCTTTTGATAAGTTTATTCAATTGGAATGTCGTGAGGTTTCATGTCTACTATTTTTTATAACCGCGTTTATCTTTCCCTTCGCAGGAGAAAGTGGTGGTGATGTCAAATATAAAGGCGACGAGACACTTACAATCGGAGCTGGCCCCGCCGCACGATCGTCTCCCCCAGCAGGAGGCCAAGAAGATAACGCAACTCGGAGACTTGCTCGAGCGAATGCTGACGCTCGACCCTGCCAAGCGCGCCTCCGTAGACCACTGTCTCGCGCATCCCTTCATCCAGGAGAAGATATAGTTTGTAGCCCACGACCGCTATAGAGCGGTGCCATAGACAACCTGTGTTACATTCAATGTATTTTTTTATTCAACTATCGTGATGTTTTTGGTCATGTATAAATAGTGTAATAGTTTAGCTAGTTTTTATAACAAATGGTTCGTTTGTCATATTGTATTAATCTAGAACAGAGCTGTCCAAACTAGATAGGATCTAGGGCCTATTCCTTTTTCATTAATTTTACAATTTTGTCAATATAAACATCAATATCGGTAGTAACTAGAAAAAATTGGGGGGCCGCATGTAGCCCGCGGGCCACGGTTTGGACAGCTCTGGTCTAGAATTCTTCAAACACTGTTTCATTTAATTACATTGATATAAGTTCATGTTTAAAAGTAACTTTTACATTGGAAATGTGTAAAATCAATACACCTGTTATTTAGTTATTAAATTACTTAATAAATTATTAAGATATATACATTTGTTTCAATTCACTCGGAAACCTAGTCACCTCACACCAAACAAATTGAGCCAATACAGATTAGTTTAGGTAGGTTTTTAAAAAGAAACTATTTTCACTGGAAACATTTATTTCAGTATATTCAGGATAATCATTAAAGGTAATTGACTCTTAAAAGGCTCTTTATATTACATATTAACTTAAAAATAGCTAGATTCTATTAACAGTCAAGGGAAAGCAAAAATGCTAAGTTTAAGCTGGCTAGGCACCAATTAGATATATATATATATATATATATATATATATATATATATATATATATATATATATATATATATATATATATATGCGTTATCGGTATACACTGGCGGAGCACCAGAGGGGTGATAAGTGAGGATGAAATGGCAGGTCAGTTAGCTCATCGTGACGAATTCAACGATATATAATAAGTCACGACGGTTTATATATATATTGATAGCAATGGGGACTAAATAAGAAGATTTTAAGTAGTATTTTTAGTAAATCTTCAGGAATACAATTATGAAGAGCGCGTACAATGTTTTTCTTTAGCTCTTATTGAAACCCCTCGTAATTGTCTTCTGTTTACAGACATTATTTAATTACAGTTTAGATTTATCCGACGCGAATAACGACTAAAGAGCTAAAAAAATTTACCCAATACTGTACCTATTATTTTTAAATGCTTCTAGAACAGCTCGAAAACAGCAAGGTGTCGAGCGAGGATGGATTTTCATCAGAACTTCTGTGAGACAAATCTCAAAACAAAATTAAAAGTTTAAATATAGAACTAAAAAAACAATCGCTTATAATCGGTAAATATCTTATTTCTTTTTTCCTTTCTTATGGCACGGCACAAAGTGCATCCGCCAAAAAGAAAGTTTGGGAAACAGCATTTTTATTAAAAGAATCTTCAATTTTAAACATAAATATGACTATAATTAACTTTATTTTTAAAGAATTCGCGCCATGTGTTAGTGTTGCAAGTATCAATTTCTTTTTGTTATTTGACAGATTGCTTTCAAAATCGAGATTTGAACATTTCAAATATGGATTCGATGTCGGAATTAATCAAAATGACCGTTATTTTAATTGTCATTACCGATTATCAATCTTAGCTTTATAACCTAAATTTTGTTATTGTTTAAAGCAATATGGAAAAATAATGAACGTCCATCTACCGCATTCTTATTCTTTGCCTACGCATTATTCTTAATAAATAAATAAATAATATAATTTGTGCGAGAATATAAGTGGACTGTATGTACGATAAGTTTTTTAAAAGATCTGAGAATGCGAAAACCGACAAATTGTTTTAAAAGTATTTAATAGAAATCTATCTAAAGTGAACATAATTAAATATATAAATAAAGTTAAATATTATAAGGGATTATATAATCCTAATAATATTTTATGTTACAACCGTCACCTATTTACCTTAATCTAAAGTAATCTATACAATCTAAGGTTTATACATACATACATATCTGTCACGCCATGCCTGTCTCCCATTAGGGTAAGCAGAAACAATGGAACGTCAAATGCTTCGATCCTAACAAACCTCTTTAGCTTTTTCCACATTCATCAATCTTTTCATACACGCTCGCCGTTTACGAGTACTTTTAATTTGTTCCTTCTTCAGCACGTCGCCTATTAGGTCGACGTACATCCGTCTAGGGCGGCTCGTATCGACATCTCCATTCATTCTTGCTTGATAAATTTCTGTCGTAATTCTTCTTTCATCCGACCTCTCCAAATGGCCAAACCATCTAAGGTTTATGTATACATAATATTCAAGCTTTTAGAAACTATCCAAGTAAGTTTGGGTTGTATGATTATATAATAAGAAATTGTCTAAATAACAAATTGTATAAAAGAACAAGAAATTGCCCAGAAAGAATGATAAAATAAAAACTGTAAATCACACAGAATCAATGAATCATTGAATTAGAGTTGAATAAAGTAACTAAATATAAATAGACAACAATCGATGTCAAATTTTTTGTATACAGGTATATAGTAGTATAATAATAGTACAACTCTCTTGTTCGTAAAAACTGAAATATGCAAGTATATTCTAACTATTAAACTTACTTTGATCTAAAACAAGGAAGTTACAAGAGAACAGTTCGATAGTCAAAATAGGTTTATAAGCTGTTTGAGGTTTATATGAATAAGGGGTTAACAAAATTTATTATAATATGTAGTTGCTTCAAAAAGGTAACTCATATAATTTTCAGGTTACGTGAATACGAGGCCACTGCCATCTCTTATAAGGTAGTGATTATTTAATAATGTATTGGTTTTGTGGTCTGTGGTCGGCGTGTAGGTTTGTCGAGTGTCAGTATTTCGGTATTTCAAGTGTCACTACAATCATTATAAATATTATTGTCTAAATTAAAAATTATATTAAAATATTTCATTGAGGTAATTGTTTTTGTTTTGATTATTATCAATCGAGACACATTTTGAAATTGTGTCGCTATTTATTTTTATATTAAGTAAACTTGCAAGGCACTTTTGTTAGCAGGTAAAATATTATTTATTTTGATTTAAGACATGGATAGTAGTTAAATTTCCTTGTCTAGAATGTAAAATTTACAGAAATTACATAAAACATTAAATAGGTAATTTTGATTGTCTGATTACTATATCATTCCTTAGTACTTGCGAGCTCGACGTCTTTGTAATAAGCTATACTTACAATGTTGTTTTTTACTCACTTTATTTTAATTTCGTCTGAATTTATATAATAGTCGGTGTCGTAATTAGGCGACGAAGGGAACTGTGGTTGGCAAATGCCCTGCCAAGCGTGGCAATTACTACTGCTGGCTAAATTCCCCCAATGGTCTTAAGGAACGATCTTGTAAAAACAATTCAATGATGTCTATCTCATTTATTCTAAACCTGGATTCCAGGAGACAAGTGGCTGGTGTTGTGTCTCAGTATGCTGTACCTGGCGAAGGGACTCTTCCACAAAGTGGTGCCTGTAGATCAACAGTTGGATATTGACTATGCTAGGATATTCAGGTGGGTCATTTTTAATAGGTAGAAATACAATTGTATCTCCGACTGCGCTACCGGTATATGCTGGTGTGACACCAGAGAGTGATGATAGACGAGGTTGTAATGACAGGTCAGATGGCCCAGCGTGATGAATTCTACAAGGATTAACTAGGATCGTTTCTAGGGGGAACCACGTTGATATTGATATAAAAGGATATATTTCTAGGACAGTGGCATTTAGACCCCATTATAAACATTCGCATTATTTCGTTTGTAATGGATAAACTCAAAAAATATGTAACTGATCTAAAAAATTCTTTCACCTGTAGAAAGTCACACTGTCGATGAGTAACTTGGATTGTCTTATTTTAAAAAAATAAATGTGTGAAGAAGAAGAAAGCGGATATGTATATATATATATATATATATATTATTTAATGAGACATTGTACAAGTGAACTACCAAATATTGACTACAATACGGTAAAGGTGGGTATGTCTGTCCCACTTTTATTTTTACCGTCAAATATCTATGTGTTTGCACATGATCTTGTTTTGGTGTGAAGGATGTCAACATGACAGTGAAATTCCAGGGTACGAAGGCAAAAAAGGAGGGAGACCTATGTTCAGCAATGGACAGATAATGGCTGAGATGATGGTGACAATAGAATTGAATATATTCATGAATACAGCGGGTCTACTATATGTCATGTTTCTTGTAAATAAATAAATAAATACTATGAAATGAAATTCCGAAATTTCGGACTCAACTTCGTGTTTTTGTCCATACCAAAATGGGATCAATAAATGGAGTTTAACATTTTGTTCGTCATACATCCTATCATAAAAGTCCAAAGGAACAATATTTTAACATTTTTAATATTTCCAAATGGCATGTATTATGAAATTTTAACATCAAATTTGTGTTTCGTTTGGCTCCGAAATATCGGAAAACATTTCATGATAGACCCTCAGATCGTTGTATATATCATGTGACAAATGATATAAAACGTCTAGAATTGAGTTGATTCAGAAACTTTGTTTCCTCAATTTCGCTCGACTAAGAATTAATCTCTGAAGATTATTATGCAATGTGTCCACTGTTGGACCCTGACAAATAAAATAGCCATATGTTCTACTACAATAGATTTGACATTTCTTCTTCTAAATATAAATATACATTAACTAATTACAATAACATATATATTTGATTATGCATACATAATTTCAATTTTATATAATATTATTCTTATAGTTGCACCATGAAGGTCAACATAATATAGTAAATAATATATAAAACCTTGCAGAATGTCATCATCAGAACACTTGTTCCGAGTGCCACAGTTGTACACTGCCTCCCGAACTATGAATCTTAGGCGACCCGGAGGAGGCTCCAATATTCCTAAGTGAATGGATGGTGAGTAATAGAAATTGTTACCACGGTTCTCCATATGAGTTGGAGCTAGTTGTGCTTTTTTTATTGGATCACAATGTAATGGTAACCCAATCTGCAAATCAATCTACCAGAGGGAGACTTTGTACAAAAGTCGTTTGTTTGGTTACCTTTGTCCCATTCGTGTTTCTACCGTGAAGTAGTCGTGTTTGCATGGCTGAGTTTCGGTTTGAAAGGTGGGATATGACGTGAATTTACTGGATACAGAGGAATAACACCTGAGTCCTCAGGAATGGCAACGCATGGGGGTATCATGGGCGAAACAGTATACTCTGTTATGTCTATAGGCGACGATTACCATTTTCCATCAGATGGGCCGTCAGCTTGTTTGCCATTCTAGGTTGTATAAAAAAAAAGTATAGTATACTATCAGTATACTGGTATGAACTGATGATATGTAAGACGAACGATAGGTAGGAATGGAAATAGGTCAGTGGGCCCATCCTGACAAATTTATCAATAACAATAATTCGGAATCGGGCGAGGATCGCTGCGGTGCGGTAGACGGGTAGCCCGACGATAATAATGAACTATGACAGTTTCATTGTTCGATCAATCACGACGAAAATTGATGGCAGAGGGAGAAATTTACAAAAATATTTTTACTATTTCATTATCATTATAACTGTTCAGTAATCATTCATTCTGACTCGTTCGTTCGAGCTCTCTCGCTCCAGCCACTCAGCACGTATAACACGTCGTCACTTTATATATAGTTTAAAATAATAAATAGCATTTGGCGTTCCATTGTTTCTGCCTACCCTAATGGGAGACAGGCGTGACAGATATGTATGTAAAATAATAAGTATTCAATATTACTAAGTACCTTTGGACTTTACATCCACTACAACCTGCATACCATAATAAGGTATATAAATACTATACAATTACTACACGAGAAGGTTATTTTCACCGCCCCCCATCTACCTTTCAACATTATCTAGATAAACCGCTCGAAGGTATTCCAAATGTCGCAGTATATTTTGATGATATTGTCATAATTGGTAAAAATCACTGAAATCATATTAGCATACGCTAGTTGCCAAAATTTAGAAATTAGTTTAAAAATATAGCTTGGTATCTATTTTACCCCAAAAATATATTATTTTAAGAAAAATAAGCCATTTTACTTAGAAATTTAGCGTTTTTAAAAATGAATTCTAAATTGACATCGTAAAAGGCCAAAACTGTCATGGCGTCTTAAATGACGTCACGCCTCGCAAAACATTCGTGTTTGTTTATAACCTCAATTATTTTTATTAGGAAATAATGAATCCCTAATATTATAAATACTCTGCAATGCCCCAATGTAAAAGTACAACGATAAAACCACCGAATAAATTATTCATATACGTTCCTAACAATAAGCAAATACGTAAAAAGTGGTTAGAAATAGCAAGGAGGCAAGATGCTTCTAATATATCAAGTGACTCAACACTTTATTTCTGTAAAGATCATTTTGATGTAAGTATTAAGCCAATTTAATGTATCTATTAAATAAAGGTAAATATAAAGTAAAAGTAATGAATTTAGCAAAATCTAACATATAAAAGCATACCCTTATAGGTTAGGTAACCATAAGTTATAAAATGATAGGACTACTGCTATTTGCATTGGTGAAACCTGATTCCATGGCGAACTATACTTGTCTTTCGAGATTAAATTTAAAATACACTGTATCGATCTAACAATTATTGCTGAAAACGAAAAATTTATCAAATAATCTATTCACTGTATACGAAAATGCCAGTAACATGAGGCGTGACGTCACGCTTCTCTGATTGGTGTTCAATGTCACGTGATTTTGTGCATTTTATTTTTCCGTAAATATTGGTAATCCTTAATTATTTTAATGAAAAAAGTGTTTTTATTTGGTTACTATATAACATGATTAATCATAAGAAACCCTATGCCAGTCGATTTATTCTTAGTGGAAACAAGCCTATTCTGACCATAGTACTTGGAAAGCGAGAAAAGGATACTGTTCTGGATTACTGTTCGCCAAAAATGAACGAATGTTATAGTTTTTACTACTCTTTTCTAAATTTGTCTTCTTAACCCTTAAATACCTGAAGTTGCAAATTTGATACCGAGGTTATAAATCGCATTGGGCGTATACAATCGATTTTATTTTAATATTTGACTGTTTACATGTTACCAAATGTTTTTTCAAAATAAATATATAAAAATATCGTTTTGATTTTTTTACTATTTGTCTCCATTAGTAAACACAGTAAGGGGTACACTATATATATATTTTTTATTTGATTTAAAAAATCAGGCTATTAAGGGTTAAGGACAAAGATTTGTCTCTGAAAAGTGTAAAATGAATGATATTATAAGAGTGGAGGTTGAGGGCAACACTAGCAATCTTAGTGACCGCGCGTCCCGCGCCGCTAACGACGTCACGTAGTCACGGTCGGACAGTCAGTAGTCAGTCTACAGCGTACGGCTTGCAGTGCGCACACGTGCATTTCGGTATACGGTGTAGTGACGTCACCCTGATAGTAATAGTGATACCCTCTTACGTGCAATTGACTGAAGTAATTGTTATTGGCCAAAGACGCCACTTCCCACACCCGGCACAGTCCCAGGACTCGTGAAGAGTGCTAACCGGTAAGTTTTCTATTCTATTTCAACGTTTGCGTTGCAGTTGTACGAAGTCGTCCTTCATTCGTTGTACCTCAAGGGTCTATTCTGGGGCCATTCCTATTTTTTAGTTTATATTGATGATTTCGCTTTTGCCATGCGACATGCAGGATAGATGCGGCGTAGTATTGTTCGCAGATGACACTTCACTTGATTTTTAAAGTTGACGCATTGGTCTAAAATTATGACGATGCAAATAGTGCTTTGCTGCGCCTCTTGTATTGGTTCAATTTGGCTCAGTGTTCATCGAGACTGTCAGATTAGTTTATTTTCGTTACTTTCATTGTCAAATAATATAATTATTAGGGTACGAGTAGTTAATTTTAAACCTTTCTTTGCGTTAATGATAGATTATACTATTTTAAATAGATAGATAGTTATACTAATAGTAATACTCTCATTACAGTATGTTGCTAGTTTAATCGACTTGTTATCAAATAAATTTATTATAATGTTCTTTTTTTTTGCAGTGTATAAATTCCATCGATCCATAGAGCTACAACATCCATAAGAGCTACCGACATGGATAAAGAGTAAGTATCAAAAAGTTTTTATTGCAATATATTAATATACTATGTAAACAGTGAAGCTGTATAATTAGTGTTGACTTTTTTCAAGTAATGACATTTTCAGGATCTAATAGAGATCTCGCTTTGTGCATACAATTTTAACCATTAATATGACATATATAACAACGAATGGACAAAACAGTCCTAACAACACGAGCATAATACTTTATTTTTATTTGTTTCAGAATAAAATTAGAAGCAGACAGGTTCGTGTACCATGATAGTCTAAAAGATGAAGACCGGAAGAAAAGAAAGACGCACAAGAAAAGTAGACGGGAGTCTGTCGATGAGTACGAGAAAGACTATAAGTCAAGAAGCAGTAGCAATGGTAGAAGAAGTCACACGAAGAAGTCTCATGATAAAGACCATTCATTAGACGAATTAATGAAGCGGAAAGAACTATTAGAAGCATGTCTAGTAGCTTATAAGTCTGATAAAAGTGATGGTGAAACGGAACAGCCATCACATAAGAAGAAAAAAGATCGTGATTATGAGTACAGACGGAGCAATAAACACATGTCTATTAAAGACAGATCATCAGAACGCGATAGATACAAGTGTAAACGATATGGGGAAGATTTAAGACAAATCATAAATAGAGAGCGTAGGAAGGAAATGGAAAAAGAGAGGGAGTACCGTGAAAGAAAAGAAACGGAACGAAATCGCGAGAGAGACGTGGAGAGGCGATCTATAGAGATGAAGAGGAAAGAACGGGAGCCTCGAACACGTCAGACGCGAGACCGGTCGCCGATAGTGCGTCGTGATCGCGAACGCTCACGTGATAGAAACCACAGGCGAACCCACAAACATCAGGTAGGGTCGATTTTTAATTAGCAGTGAAATTTTTAAAATAAAATTTACAATACATGTAAAAATGTGAAAGCTAAAATATACATACTATATTTCAGAATTCAATCAATGAAGTGGCACAAATAGTTCCATGTTCAAGTGACGAAGAATCAAATTTGGTAATAAATACAGATGATGATGAAGAGATAGAGGAGCAGATTATCGAAAAGAGAAGAGAAGAGAGGGAACGACTAATAAAGGTAAGTACTGTTGATACAAGTGATATAGATGTTTAAATTGAAGTCTATCATTATATGTTACAAGTCATTAATTTCTTTGTTCTATTATTTTAGAAGCTCCGTGGTATCAACAATGGCCCATTGGAACAACAACAACAGCAGGTGGCAGTCTCCACCTCACCGGATGTAAAGCCGGACAATATGAACTCTGACATTAAACAGGATAAATGTGAAACAAAAGGAGAAAGTGACCAAGATGAGACCACGAATTCAGACTCCAAGAGCGATGTAAGCGGGCTGGCCGGGAATATAGACAATGAGTCCAAAACTAACATCAAATTGGAGAAGTCAGTGAAGAGCAAGTCGTGGGACATGTTCGCTGATCAGGACAGCTTCAGTGTTGATGTAAGTATTGTTTATAATATTAATTCCAGATCATCTCTCTTTCTCTTTTGATAGTAACAAGACACTTTACAACCGAGCACAGAAAGAAGGATGTGATAGATTCGGTTGTTTTGTTTTTTATTTTAACGAATGTCACTGTCATTTCTAAACTGATTTAAAAAATCCTTTTTTTTTTAGTTGAAAGGAAGTTGGATTAAAGCTTTCATTGTAATTACAGACGTCTACAGCTGGAAAACCAAGAAGTGACAATGCATTAGAGAACCCTTCATTGATAGACAATTGGGATGATGCCGAAGGGTACTACAGGTATGTAAGATTTTTGTTCTATTAGTGCAATAGAAAATAACTTTTGACACACAATTTGCCATATATTTAATGAATTATAACAAATACATGAATATTCCCTTGATAACAGCTAGACATAACGAGACAGGACCGAGAACGAACCATGATATATAGTCAGAGTGTGGCATTAATATACTATGTTTTATGTACAGGGTGCGAATCGGCGAGAGTCTGGACGAGCGGTACAATGTGTACGGTTACACCGGCCAAGGGGTGTTCTCTAACGTGGTGCGGGCGCGGGACCAACGCGCCAACTGCGATGTGGCCGTCAAGATCATCAGGAACAATGCCATGATGTAAGTATACTTTCTCAACTACTTTCAGAGTTTCGCAATTTTTACTTTTATTTGGTAGACAGACAGACAGACTAAATATTTAACATGTTCAGACATCGTGAAATAGTTAATGTTTACATTCATTTCCACCACCCACCACTTGTATATAATTCGACTTATTAAACGATCCATTCCATCCGCAGGCACAAAACCGGCCTCCGTGAGATAGAAATTCTGAAGCGTTTGAACGACGCCGACCCCCACGACAAGTTCCACTGTTTGCGCCTGTCCCGGCATTTCTTCCACAAGCAGCACTTGTGCATGGTGATGGAGCCTCTGTCCATGAACCTCAGGGAGGTGCTGAAGAAGTACGGCAAGAACAGCGGAATACACATCAAGGCGGTCAGATGTTATACGATGCAAATGTTGTCGGCGCTCGAACTGTTGAAGAAAACTGGCATTTTACACGCCGGTAAGTTATCATACTTGAATTATTAACTTTTCAACGATGAAATTATAATTTATTTCCGATAACGCTTATAAAGCTCCTTTGCTCTTATTATGTTATGTTATAATGCAATTATTGATTTTTTGTTCACAGACATCAAACCGGACAATATACTCGTTGATGATAGTAAGCTAACGCTTAAACTATGCGACTTCGGTTCCGCGTCGTGTGTAACGGAAAACGAAATCACACCATACCTGGTCTCGAGATTCTACCGGGCGCCAGAGATCATCCTCGGCTCCGCCTACGATCACGGCATAGACATGTGGTCCACGGCGTGCACTGTATACGAACTGTCCACCGGCAAAATAATGTTCAGTGGGAAATCCAACAATGAGATGCTAAAATGTTTCATGGACCTGAAAGGAAAGATACCAAATAAAATCATAAAGAGGGGACACTTCAAGGGGCAACACTTTGATGCAAATTGCAACTTTTTGTATCGTGAGCTGGACAAAGTGACCGAACGGGTAAGTAGTATATTTACTTGTTATAATATAGATTTGGTTTCTGATGGATGAAAGTGAACCAGTCATAGGTGAGGGAGGATAAAGTAAGATCAGTTATGAAAAAATGCTTTTGATAAGTTTATTCAATTGGAATGTCGTGAGGTTTCATGTCTACTATTTTTTATAACCGCGTTTATCTTTCCCTTCGCAGGAGAAAGTGGTGGTGATGTCAAATATAAAGGCGACGAGACACTTACAATCGGAGCTGGCCCCGCCGCACGATCGTCTCCCCCAGCAGGAGGCCAAGAAGATAACGCAACTCGGAGACTTGCTCGAGCGAATGCTGACGCTCGACCCTGCCAAGCGCGCCTCCGTAGACCACTGTCTCGCGCATCCCTTCATCCAGGAGAAGATATAGTTTGTAGCCCACGACCGCTATAGAGCGGTGCCATAGACAACCTGTGTTACATTCAATGTATTTTTTTATTCAACTATCGTGATGTTTTTGGTCATGTATAAATAGTGTAATAGTTTAGCTAGTTTTTATAACAAATGGTTCGTTTGTCATATTGTATTAATCTAGAACAGAGCTGTCCAAACTAGATAGGATCTAGGGCCTATTCCTTTTTCATTAATTTTACAATTTTGTCAATATAAACATCAATATCGGTAGTAACTAGAAAAAATTGGGGGGCCGCATGTAGCCCGCGGGCCACGGTTTGGACAGCTCTGGTCTAGAATTCTTCAAACACTGTTTCATTTAATTACATTGATATAAGTTCATGTTTAAAAGTAACTTTAACCTTGGAAATGTGTAAAATCAATACACCTGTTATTTAGTTATTAAATTACTTAATAAATTATTAAGATATATACATTTGTTTTAATTCACTCGGAAACCTAGTCACCTCACACCAAACAAATTGAGCCAATACAGATTAGTTTAGGTAGGTTTTTAAAAAGAAACTATTTTCACTGGAAACATTTATTTCAGTATATTCAGGATAATCATTAAAGGTAATTGACTCTTAAAAGGCTCTTTATATTACATATTAACTTAAAAATAGCTAGATTCTATTAACAGTCAAGGGAAAGCAAAAATGCTAAGTTTAAGCTGGCTAGGCACCAATTAGGATATATATATATATATATATATATATATATATATATATATATATATATATATATATATATATATATATGCCTGCGTTATCGGTATACACTGGCGGAGCACCAGAGGGGTGATAAGTGAGGATGAAAAGGCAGGTCAGTTAGCTCATCGTGACGAATTCAACGATATATAATAAGTCACGACGGTTTATATATAGGTATTGATAGCAATGGGGACTAAATAAGAAGATTTTAAGTAGTATTTTTAGTAAATCTTCAGGAATACAATTATGAAGAGCGCGTACAATGTTTTTCTTTAGCTCTTATTGAAACCCCTCGTAATTGTCTTCTGTTTACAGACATTATTTAATTACAGTTTAGATTTATCCGACGCGAATAACGACTAAAGAGCTAAAAAAATTTACCCAATACTGTACCTATTATTTTTAAATGCTTCTAGAACAGCTCGAAAACAGCAAGGTGTCGAGCGAGGATGGATTTTCATCAGAACTTCTGTGAGACAAATCTCAAAACAAAATTAAAAGTTTAAATATAGAACTAAAAAAACAATCGCTTATAATCGGTAAATATCTTATTTCTTTTTTCCTTTCTTATGGCACGGCACAAAGTGCATCCGCCAAAAAGAAAGTTTGGGAAACAGCATTTTTATTAAAAGAATCTTCAATTTTAAACATAAATATGACTATAATTAACTTTATTTTTAAAGAATTCGCGCCATGTGTTAGTGTTGCAAGTATCAATTTCTTTTTGTTATTTGACAGATTGCTTTCAAAATCGAGATTTGAACATTTCAAATATGGATTCGATGTCGGAATTAATCAAAATGACCGTTATTTTAATTGTCATTACCGATTATCAATCTTAGCTTTATAACCTAAATTTTGTTATTGTTTAAAGCAATATGGAAAAATAATGAACGTCCATCTACCGCATTCTTATTCTTTGCCTACGCATTATTCTTAATAAATAAATAAATAATATAATTTGTGCGAGAATATAAGTGGACTGTATGTACGATAAGTTTTTTAAAAGATCTGAGAATGCGAAAACCGACAAATTGTTTTAAAAGTATTTAATAGAAATCTATCTAAAGTGAACATAATTAAATATATAAATAAAGTTAAATATTATAAGGGATTATATAATCCTAATAATATTTTATGTTACAACCGTCACCTATTTACCTTAATCTAAAGTAATCTATACAATCTAAGGTTTATACATACATACATATCTGTCACGCCATGCCTGTCTCCCATTAGGGTAAGCAGAAACAATGGAACGTCAAATGCTTCGATCCTAACAAACCTCTTTAGCTTTTTCCACATTCATCAATCTTTTCATACACGCTCGCCGTTTACGAGTACTTTTAATTTGTTCCTTCTTCAGCACGTCGCCTATTAGGTCGACGTACATCCGTCTAGGGCGGCTCGTATCGACATCTCCATTCATTCTTGCTTGATAAATTTCTGTCGTAATTCTTCTTTCATCCGACCTCTCCAAATGGCCAAACCATCTAAGGTTTATGTATACATAATATTCAAGCTTTTAGAAACTATCCAAGTAAGTTTGGGTTGTATGATTATATAATAAGAAATTGTCTAAATAACAAATTGTATAAAAGAACAAGAAATTGCCCAGAAAGAATGATAAAATAAAAACTGTAAATCACACAGAATCAATGAATCATTGAATTAGAGTTGAATAAAGTAACTAAATATAAATAGACAACAATCGATGTCAAATTTTTTGTATACAGGTATATAGTAGTATAATAATAGTACAACTCTCTTGTTCGTAAAAACTGAAATATGCAAGTATATTCTAACTATTAAACTTACTTTGATCTAAAACAAGGAAGTTACAAGAGAACAGTTCGATAGTCAAAATAGGTTTATAAGCTGTTTGAGGTTTATATGAATAAGGGGTTAACAAAATTTATTATAATATGTAGTTGCTTCAAAAAGGTAACTCATATAATTTTCAGGTTACGTGAATACGAGGCCACTGCCATCTCTTATAAGGTAGTGATTATTTAATAATGTATTGGTTTTGTGGTCTGTGGTCGGCGTGTAGGTTTGTCGAGTGTCAGTATTTCGGTATTTCAAGTGTCACTACAATCATTATAAATATTATTGTCTAAATTAAAAATTATATTAAAATATTTCATTGAGGTAATTGTTTTTGTTTTGATTATTATCAATCGAGACACATTTTGAAATTGTGTCGCTATTTATTTTTATATTAAGTAAACTTGCAAGGCACTTTTGTTAGCAGGTAAAATATTATTTATTTTGATTTAAGACATGGATAGTAGTTAAATTTCCTTGTCTAGAATGTAAAATTTACAGAAATTACATAAAACATTAAATAGGTAATTTTGATTGTCTGATTACTATATCATTCCTTAGTACTTGCGAGCTCGACGTCTTTGTAATAAGCTATACTTACAATGTTGTTTTTTACTCACTTTATTTTAATTTCGTCTGAATTTATATAATAGTCGGTGTCGTAATTAGGCGACGAAGGGAACTGTGGTTGGCAAATGCCCTGCCAAGCGTGGCAATTACTACTGCTGGCTAAATTCCCCCAATGGTCTTAAGGAACGATCTTGTAAAAACAATTCAATGATGTCTATCTCATTTATTCTAAACCTGGATTCCAGGAGACAAGTGGCTGGTGTTGTGTCTCAGTATGCTGTACCTGGCGAAGGGACTCTTCCACAAAGTGGTGCCTGTAGATCAACAGTTGGATATTGACTATGCTAGGATATTCAGGTGGGTCATTTTTAATAGGTAGAAATACAATTGTATCTCCGACTGCGCTACCGGTATATGCTGGTGTGACACCAGAGAGTGATGATAGACGAGGTTGTAATGACAGGTCAGATGGCCCAGCGTGATGAATTCTACAAGGATTAACTAGGATCGTTTCTAGGGGGAACCACGTTGATATTGATATAAAAGGATATATTTCTAGGACAGTGGCATTTAGACCCCATTATAAACATTCGCATTATTTCGTTTGTAATGGATAAACTCAAAAAATATGTAACTGATCTAAAAAATTCTTTCACCTGTAGAAAGTCACACTGTCGATGAGTAACTTGGATTGTCTTATTTTAAAAAAATAAATGTGTGAAGAAGAAGAAAGCGGATATGTATATATATATATATATATATATATTATTATTTAATGAGACATTGTACAAGTGAACTACCAAATATTGACTACAATACGGTAAAGGTGGGTATGTCTGTCCCACTTTTATTTTTACCGTCAAATATCTATGTGTTTGCACATGATCTTGTTTTGGTGTGAAGGATGTCAACATGACAGTGAAATTCCAGGGTACGAAGGCAAAAAAGGAGGGAGACCTATGTTCAGCAATGGACAGATAATGGCTGAGATGATGGTGACAATAGAATTGAATATATTCATGAATACAGCGGGTCTACTATATGTCATGTTTCTTGTAAATAAATAAATAAATACTATGAAATGAAATTCCGAAATTTCGGACTCAACTTCGTGTTTTTGTCCATACCAAAATGGGATCAATAAATGGAGTTTAACATTTTGTTCGTCATACATCCTATCATAAAAGTCCAAAGGAACAATATTTTAACATTTTTAATATTTCCAAATGGCATGTATTATGAAATTTTAACATCAAATTTGTGTTTCGTTTGGCTCCGAAATATCGGAAAACATTTCATGATAGACCCTCAGATCGTTGTATATATCATGTGACAAATGATATAAAACGTCTAGAATTGAGTTGATTCAGAAACTTTGTTTCCTCAATTTCCCTCGACTAAGAATTAATCTCTGAAGATTATTATGCAATGTGTCCACTGTTGGACCCTGACAAATAAAATAGCCATATGTTCTACTACAATAGATTTGACATTTCTTCTTCTAAATATAAATATACATTAACTAATTACAATAACATATATATTTGATTATGCATACATAATTTCAATTTTATATAATATTATTCTTATAGTTGCACCATGAAGGTCAACATAATATAGTAAATAATATATAAAACCTTGCAGAATGTCATCATCAGAACACTTGTTCCGAGTGCCACAGTTGTACACTGCCTCCCGAACTATGAATCTTAGGCGACCCGGAGGAGGCTCCAATATTCCTAAGTGAATGGATGGTGAGTAATAGAAATTGTTACCACGGTTCTCCATATGAGTTGGAGCTAGTTGTGCTTTTTTTATTGGATCACAATGTAATGGTAACCCAATCTGCAAATCAATCTACCAGAGGGAGACTTTGTACAAAAGTCGTTTGTTTGGTTACCTTTGTCCCATTCGTGTTTCTACCGTGAAGTAGTCGTGTTTGCATGGCTGAGTTTCGGTTTGAAAGGTGGGATATGACGTGAATTTACTGGATACAGAGGAATAACACCTGAGTCCTCAGGAATGGCAACGCATGGGGGTATCATGGGCGAAACAGTATACTCTGTTATGTCTATAGGCGACGATTACCATTTTCCATCAGATGGGCCGTCAGCTTGTTTGCCATTCTAGGTTGTATAAAAAAAAAGTATAGTATACTATCAGTATACTGGTATGAACTGATGATATGTAAGACGAACGATAGGTAGGAATGGAAATAGGTCAGTGGGCCCATCCTGACAAATTTATCAATAACAATAATTCGGAATCGGGCGAGGATCGCTGCGGTGCGGTAGACGGGTAGCCCGACGATAATAATGAACT